TCATTAATTTTAATTTTTCTACTAATTATTTAAATTTAACTTTGACGAGTGTGAACAAAATTGCAATATAATAAAACTTATATTGCAATAAAACAAGGAAAAGAATGTAAAGGAAAAGAAAAAAGGAAAAGAATGATGCGCACAATCATAAAAACATACTCTCTCCGTTTAAAAATGTCAAGCATTTTTAATTAAATTTTACTCTTCAATAAAGTAATTACTTATTTTCAAACTAACCTTATCTTTTCTTATTTATCCCTGTTAAATACCCTACAATGAATATAAAGTCATTATTAGTAAGGGCATTTTTTAAAACAAGGCAATGAATACACCTAAAAAAATTAAAAATACTTTATATTTTTTAACATCCAACTTCTAAAAAAATGTCTTATATTTTTTAATGAAGGGAGTAAGATCCTATTAAAAAAACTTTATTTTTATTATATTATTCATATAAATTATTTGAGGTCGTAATATATATTTATTCATATATTGCAATATATAACAACTCAATTATTTTGTGCAACAACATTGAGGATGATCTGGTCCACCAAATCCAACACAGTTCCCTCCCTTTGGAAATCCCTCGTTAATGCATATTTGATTGCACTGAGAAGCTGAAGCACCAGAACATGGCCCCTGACACGCCAATATTGGATCAGTGAATCCGCTTGCTGGTCCTGCATTGTCAAGTTTTTCAATTTTTTTCACACATATTAAAAAAGTGTCAAAAGATTTTATTTTTACCTTTATTTAGACATCCATTCACAATTCGCGTGATTAATTAGAAGCATTGAGGGGTTAAAATAGCAATTATTTATACAGGATAACTAAGAAACACTATAATTTATATCATAAACTAAGAATGTCTTCTAGAATACATTTTATAAATAAGATAGGACTACCTTCAACATTTTCACTAAAATCAAAAAGAGATTTTATACTCACTCACTTTGTTTGAAAATTAAAACAAAGTTTTCAACTTTTTTCATGTAGAACTCGTCCTTAATTATGAGGAGCTCATTATCCATTAAAACTAGTAATTTGTGCCAAATTTAATAGGCTAACTTGAATAAGATCGAAAAAAATTTAAAAGTGAACTTTAAAAAATAATATATTTTCAATGTTGGGGTCAAGCCAGATTGGATTCAGCCTTGGCCAATACTCAAATAACATTTTTATGTTTTTAAAAAATATATAAAACATATTAGATATTAATTAATATTTTAATTTTTTTTATTTTATATATAGAGACCATATATTTGAGTACATTATTATATATTTTTCTAAAAATAAAATATATTAATATTATTTTATTCTTATTATTTGTAATCTATAAAAAATTTTAAAATAATATTTAAAATGTATTTTAATCTTGATTTTTAAAATTTAAGAGCATAATTTTTTTTTTCAAAATAAAATTTGAGTTTTCTACAATTTTAAGTATCCCAGAAAATATATTTTACATTTTTAATAATAATAAAATTAATTATTTTTAAATTAAAAAACTTAAATTCATTTGAAAAAATGTGATAATTCAAGCTATCCTGAATAAGCTCAAAATCTATGAGTGTTATGATTCAGTTTAACTATATAAACTTTTTTTAAGTTCGGACTTATTTAGACCATTCCAAATAAGCTCATACTAAATTGAGTACAATCTAAAAAAGCCTGCCACCTTAATTAACAGTTCTATAATCTATGTTTGGAAAACATTAACCAATATAATGGAAAAAGAGCAATATGGAAAAATGTAATAAATATTCCATAGTAGTGCTTTATTAAAGAAGGAAAAAAAATTTGCCTTCAAGTAACTTATAAAAAGGACTAGAAGAGAGTAGATTTTTTTAGTTTTATTAAGACTATTAGGTTTTTTCTTACTTTAATTTAAAAACTTATACAATGTTTTTATGAAGAAATAAATAAAAATTATGCAAATATCTTCACTTTCGGATTATGCGCGATCTTAAAAACAAATAATAAATTACATACATCTGCTTCTGACTTGAGTATTTTCAAAAAACAACAGAGAGAAAGAGAGAGAGAGGGAGGGAGGGAGGGAGATTGATGGAGTTATACCCTCTATTTAATGCTTATATGTATCAAGTTCTCAAATGCAATATAAAAGTTAAAATAATCGTGTTATTTTTATACTATTGTTTTACTGATAAGAAGTATACTCTACACAATAATCTTATTCTCAAAAGACGTTGTGTATATATTTTTAAAAATTAAATAGAATAGATGTCTCTTTGTAATTTTCACAAAATCCATTAGGAATTTGTTTAGTCTTTGATTTAAGGGAAATTTTTGTAGATTTTAAAAATAACAGAAAAAATTCCTGCAAGACTTAAAAAAAATTGTATTTCATTTGAAATATGAATGGAAATTTATGCACCTGATGGTGCAAATTTTTCCTTATCTCTAAATAGATCGTCCCAACATTCTCGAAGGAAGAGCTTAGCTGTTAATCTTACTGTATATCTCTTGCAAAATAAAGAATTTAATCGAAGTTTGTATAATAATCTATTATTATAACAATACAATTAAAATAAAATTAATTAATATTGCATTTGTAGCAATAAAATATAAAATACAATGAAACAAGAATGTATAATTTACCTGATGCTAAAACCAGAAGAAAGCAAATAAGAACCGCACTGAATAGATAGGTTTGAGAAACTCTGGATGCCATTCTCTCACAATTTTAGCTTGCCTCTCTAATTTGATTCTTATTTGGTTTATGAAAAATATAACCCAATGACTTTATATAGGCCTTTATATATGAGGTTAGGATCACATGTTCTCGAGAGAATGCACATTTTAAGTTCCGGAGATATCATCAAGTCAAACTGATTGCTTTAAATGCAATTAATGGTGCAGATTATTAATTCGATATGCAAATTTTATTATAATTACTACATGATATCTGAAATATGATATGAATTAAGTGATTGTTGGTAAAAAGTATATGATAGGCATCCCAAAATAAAAAGATAAATAAAGTGCCATAATGTGAAGCAAAATCTGGTACACGCAACGAATAATGTATGTGCAAATCAAAAGATGGTAGAGTATTAAAATGAATATACCGGAAAAAGAATGAATTTTTTAAAAACGAAATCTTAGGAATTTAAATCAAATAATCATAGCTTGTGGTTCTCATCCTAATAGAAATGTAAAGGAGGTAAATTGCGTGTTTACAGATTTTTGTTACTTTTTCAACTTTTTTTTTTTTAAAGATCACAATATGCGTATTTTTTGTAAATTTTTTTACCAGTTTTTTTTTTTTGTAAACTTAATCTAAATTTCATTTCCTAGAAAGCCTAATCAATTTCACAAGCTCAATGTATGTATAAGTTTAAAATCAATTTTAAAGAAAACGTTGAGTATGAGATCATAAACATTTAAAGTTTTGATTATAACCCAAAAACGTAACAAAGTATAAATTAAGGATGTTGGAAGCATAACAGATGACGGATAGAGAATGTATGAACTCAATATTTATCTTGATTCAGCTCTACCCTTGAGTCAACATCTAATCCTCAAGAAATTCATTTGAAATTTTCTTCATTGTATCTACTTCTTGTGGGGAAAACTTTGTCCTCCAAAATTTATCAAATTGATGTAACTTAAAATAGAGAGACAATATTGGAAGGTTAGTTATAGTTTTGCGTTCTCCTCAGTCCTCCCTTCCATATATTAAAAGCCCAAACAAGGGGAAGATTTCAATGAAACTTATCCTTTATTTTCCTTCTGCACTATTCTTCATCCAAACAGACCAGTACATAATGTATCTTAATACACTGCATGAAATTATTTGCAAGCTGATATTACACTTGTTAATTTTTTGGTGTTCTATGCCTCCTAACTTTAGTTAGATTTGGTGCTTGTGACTATTCTTTTACTGTGAAACTCTTTGAGAACTTGATATGAAGGGAACTTAGAGCCAAACTAAGGGAGTAGTGGCGTTATCCAATTATCTTTAAAGATCACGTTTCTTGCTATTTATTGCTGACGATGCTAGTATCTATCTTTGCAGTAGTTTTTCTTTTCTTTCTTGGTTTTTCACTGATATTCGAGTTTTTTTCCCCTTGAGAAATTCACTGTTCTGAAAAATAAGCTGGACTGGATGGTTTAACTGGTTGAACCTGTCCAGTTCTTAACCTTAAATAATGGTGGTAATGAATGGCCAGAAGCTTCATTAAGCAATTGGTTTTAAATGAACAAGCCAAACTGGATTTGCTTTAGCCGGTCAACTGGTTCAGTACTAATGGGATGTGGCAGTTGAGCTTACACATTGTTGAACCTCTAAATTATCGATGTTGAATTGGATTCTGTTGCATAAAAAATTTGCATGGAAGATTCAAGCCTGGCACTTTTGGATCCAAAGGAAGTTGGAACTGTTAGGCCAGCACATGCTATACTCTAATGTAGTTACTACACGTATGGCAATAGAGAATTTAAATTAAGGGTAATATAACTCAGTCCCTAAACTTCTTATCAATTATCGATTTAGTCCCTAGACTTTACCTTGATACAGCTCAATTCTTGTGGTTTGTTGAGTTAAGAAATTAGAGGGACTAAGTTGTTCTGAGTTAATAAACTACTAGGACTGAGTTTTTCAAGTTAAAAAACTATAGGAACTGAGTTGTTCTAAACCAAAGTTCAAGTATCGGATCGATAATTGAGAAAAAGTGGAAAGATCAAAAATTATATTTTTTTCTTTAAATTAAATATGAATTTATGTAATGGTTGCATTATGTTTTGCATCTTAAAGCAAATTCTTAACTTATTAATGTTTTTTAATAAATGGGCTGGATTGTTGTTTAATTACCTGTTAACTGGCCTTCCTTTTTTGGTTTAATGATTGGCTTGATTTTCAAAATATTGAATGTATTATATGATGTGATGCTGTGATTGATTTGAGTTGCAAAAAATGTTTCATTGGTAATTGTTGAATATGTTATTTTCTTTTGATTGATTTGTTGAATTATTTACATATTTTGATGATAATGTTCCAATTGGGTGCTTATGGCTTGTGTTTGCAGGTTGATGTTAATACTGAAGTGGGAGTTGTCAGAGATATCCGCCTTAAAGAATTGCGAATATATACAGATTATGGTCGCTGTAGTCGTCCATTATTTATTGTGGATAAACAAAGGCTTCTCATAAAGAAAAAGGATATTCATGCTTTACAACAGAGGGTGAGCAGTAGAAACTGTAATTTATCTCAGTAGTTGACATTGTTTCCTGCAATTTTCTCACTAGTTGATTTATGTTACCAGGAATCCCCAGAGGAAGGTGGATGGCATGATCTTGTTTCCAAGGGGTTTATAGAATATATTGATACAGAAGAAGAAGAGACCACTATGATCTCCATGACCATTAATGTTGGTGTTATAAATCTGGATTTGAACATGTAAGTGCATTGAGTTATTATGAAGCATTAAGGTAGCTAATGGTTAATAAAATGTGACAGGATCTCGTTCAAGCAAGGATCAATCCAGATGAAGCTTATTCTGATACTTACACTCATTGTGAAATCCATCCATCATTGATCTTGGGTGTATGTGCTTCCATCATACCCTTTCCTGATCACAACCAGGTAAATGAGTTTATGGAGTCCTCTTAGCAAAATAAATTGTGTTCTTCATATTACTTATATGTTGTTGATGCGATCAGTCGTCGCGTAACACATATCAGTCTGCTATGGGAAAACAAGCTATGGGAATATATGTAACCAATTACCAATTTCGAATGGTACACTTTTAGCTGTCATTTTGTCAATATTTCTTTCTAGTCTGCATTTATTGTTGATGCAAGCGATCATTGTTTTCTTTTGCTTTCGTTTAGGATACATTGGCCTATGTACTATATTATCCTCAAAAGCCACTGGTCACTACAAGAGCCATGGAGCATCTCCATTTCCGGCAACTTCCTGCTGGAATTGTAAATTCTCCTTTGTCTCTTATCATTTTCTCGTGATGACTTCAATAGGTTCCTGATCTCACATATTTTCCTCCCATTTATCTTAGAATGCAATTGTGGCCATTGCGTGTTATTCTGGGTATAATCAGGAAGATTCTGTCATCATGAATCAATCTTCAATAGACCGTGGATTCTTTCGGTCTCTGTTTTTCCGTTCATATAGGTGTGTATGTAACCAAAATTTTAATTACATATATATATATTTTGCCTTCTTGTTTTTTCTAAGAGGTTTCTTTTTAAACTTTTGAAGGGATGAGGAGAAGAAGATGGGAACTCTTGTCAAAGAAGATTTTGGTCGACCAGACAGAGCTAATACCATGGTGAGGATTTAGGCTTTGCTTTTGCTTTTATGATTCTTTATTGGCTGTATATAGGAAATAAACCAAGTTTTATTTTACAGGGCATGCGGCATGGCTCTTATGATAAGCTAGATGATGATGGCCTAGCACCACCTGTGAGTATATTTATTTAACCTGTGCTGTGAGAATATCCTATGCTGCTTGTCCTGAAATTAAGCTTAAATGATGGACTCAAGCAATTTAATTCCTATGTAACAGGGTACTAGAGTGTCTGGTGAGGATGTTATCATTGGAAAGACCACCCCAATCTCTCAAGATGATGCGCAGGGCCAATCTGCACGTTATACGAGACGTGGATTGGTGCCAATACTAACAATCATGGGGTATCATACCCCTACTCTAGGCTCTTCATGAACTGGTAGAGACTAGTTAGGTTTGAGTCCCTCATAGAACCAGTGGGACAGTCCTGAATCAATCGTGGGACAAGGGCTACCTCTTGATTCCAACGATTGGTGCCACAGCTAGTTCCCGATTCCAATGGTCACTACCATATACCACGTGGATTGCAATCAATCTACTCCTTTCCCTAGGAGAACTCCCGCCAATGATCATGCTATGTACATGTTTCACATAATATGCATTTTAACAATCATTTCTTAACACATGAACTCACATAACACAAATGCTCCACAACTCAACACACAATTCATCACAATTCTCCACCCATAATAATAAATCACAATCAATTTCATAAAACACCAAGGGTGGCAAAATCAAGGTTTTCTTTCCAAAAACTATTTTACAAATCAAACACTTGCCAATATGCATCATTAATTTAACTCATAATTCACATTTCAAAAACACAAGTAACATTCAAATATAAAGATTAAGTTTTCCCTGGTTACCTCAAACTTTTGAGAGGTCAAAGGTTTACCCCTTACTATACCAACTTTCTAAAGCTTCAACAAGCTTGAATGGTGCCAAAAATGAACCTCTCTACATCCATACCACAAGAATTTCATCATTATCTAACTCTTGAAACTTTATCAACATAAAACTCTACACATTCTATTTTATCAACTCATAATTACTACCTATTCATACCCAATGGGCTCATAGAATTTCATTAATGCACATTATCACTAATAACACCTCAAACCATTATTAATGCACATTAACCTCTCCCAACTACCTCATAAATATCATTTTTCAGATAATAAATGCTTCTATGGGCCAACCACTTCCAAAATCATCAATGAAGTGTTCTAATACATTAAACAACTCTGATTTTACTTATTTTAACCAATGGAATCGGACCCATGCTCCTATGAATTAAAAATCCATCTCCCAACTCAAACCCCACTATAAATCATCATGAATGAGGGAGAGAAAGGAAAAATGAGACTTAGATTACCTACCTTAAGTGTTTGGGAGCTTTAAAATGTAAGCAATGAGAGCCAATATGCATACCCTAGCAAAGCTTTAGCATTTTCTTCATTTTCCTCTTCCTCTTCTCTTTTATTTTCACGCACAGAATGAATTAGATATATCTGATTTTTGGCCATGCGCCGCTGCCCACGATACCCTCCGTCGTGACGCATGGCACAAAAGAGCCCGTTACATTTAAATTGTCTCTGCATGTCGTGGCAAACTAGCCACACACCACGGCGTGTGGTACAGAGAACAATTCACTTTTTCTTCATCTTTCATTGCTCGAGTGGCCCACCATCGATCTGGACTCACTTCTAGGGCTGAAATCACAACAATGATGCTAAGTTAAGCCCCTTTGGCCACACACCTTATTAGGTTTATAAACTAGGGTTAGAATTTTTTGAATGTTATAACTTTTCCCTCCTTTTAAGAATTTTGTCCTAAAAATTCGGTAAATTATATAAATCTTACCTCATTGGAAAAGATAGAGATATTGTTGCCTCATTTTCTCTTCTGTTTCTTAAGTGGCATCATTGGGAGTCATTCCCTTCCATATCACTTTCACTAAACGGATAGTCTTGTTTCTTAGCTACTTATCTTTCACATCAACTATCCTTTCTTGCTCAGTCCGGTAGGTCAAATTCTCCCGTAGCTCCACTTCTTCTAGTTTAATAATGTGAGATGGATCAGGTTAGTACTTTTTAAGTTGTAAGACATGAAACACGTCATGTACACCTGATAAATGTGGGGGTAATGCAATTTAATACGCTAAAGGCCTAATTCTCTTAAGAATCTCAAATGGACCAATATATCTGGGAGTCAACTTCTTGGCTCGAACAGACCTTCCAATACCAATCATAGGTGATACCTTCAAAAATACATGATCTTTGACTATAACTCTAGCGGCCTTCTTTTCTTATCTTCATAACTCTTCTGCCAACTCTGGGCAGTCAACAACTTCTATCAAATTACCTCTATCTTCTCTATAGTTTGATCTACCAAATCCAGATCTAAAACACTCCTCTCACTTAACTCAGTCCAGTAAAGAGGCGATTGACACTTTCGACCATACAAAGCTTCATACAGAGCCATTTGAATACTTGCATGAAAGCTGTTGTTATAGGCAAACTCCATGAGTAGTAAGTGTTTATACCAACTTTTACTTAACTTAATAGCACACGCTCACAACATATCCTTGAGAGTTTGAATTATCCTCTCGATCTGACCATCTGTCTGGGGGTGATAGGCCATACTAAGCTTCAACTTAGTACCTATAGCTTGGTGTAAAGCTCTCCAGAAGATGTGAACCTCAGATCACAATCTGACACTATCTTTTTCGGTATCCCATGCAACCATACTATCTCTTGGATAAAAACCTCAGTAAATCTCTAAGGTATAATATGCTCTAATGGCTAGAAAATGAGCTGACTTGGTTACTCTATCCACGATCACCCATATAGCATCATAACTTGCTTGAGTACGTGGTAATCCCATTATGAAGTCCATGGACACATTGTCCCATTTCCACATTGGGATTTTCAAAAGTTGTAATAACCCAGGTGGCTTTTAGTGTTTTATCTTGACTTTCTGACATGTCAAACACATAGAAATGAACTCAGTTACATCTCGCTTCATTCCGTGCCACCACCACCGCTTTTTCATATCTTAGTACATCTTAGTGTTGCTAGGGTGAATAATTAGCTTACTCCTGTGAGCTTTTGACGAAATGACCTCTGTAATTTCCTTATCATTAGGAACACATATACGGTAATGATACAACACGAAACCATCATCACTGAAGCCAAAAGCTGTCGTTTGGTTATCCTCAATGTCCTCCTTGATTTCTAACAATACTCATCTTCTAACTGTGCCTTTCTTAACTCTTTCAAGAACTCACTTGTAATTACCATGACATTCAAGTTATATGATGTGAAATCAGGAATATTCTTGTGCTCATTAGAGAAATCCTCTACATCTTGTGCTCTTGATCATTAAGAATGCTACATGTAACGTCTTCCAGTTCAACGCATCAGCTATTACATTAACCTTGCAGGATGGTGCTTTAGCTTGAAATTATAGTCCTTCAAGAATTCCATCCATCTCCACTGCTTCATATTTAATTCTTTCTGATCAACTAGATACTTGAGGCTTTTGTGGTCACTGTATACCTCAAAATGCACACCATAAAGGTAATGTCTCTATATTTTAAGCATAAACACCACTGCCACAAGCTCAAGATCATGGGTAGGATAGTTTTCCTCGTGTGGTCTTAACTGTCTTGAAGCATATGCCACAACTCTGTCATCTTGCATTAGGACACATCTAAGACCATTAAGTGAAGCATCTGCATATACCATAAATGGCCATTTTAGATCTGGAATAGTCAACATAGGTGCAGTCATCAATCTCTGCTTCAGCTCTTGGAAAGCCCCTTCATACTTGTCAGTCCATACGAAAGGATCATCTTTCTTAGTCAATTTGATTAAAGCAGATGCAGTCTAGGAAAATCCTTGAATAAACCTTCTATAATATCCTGCTAGACCCAAGAAACTTCAAATCTCTATCACAGAAGTCGGTCTTTCCCATTATAGTACTGCATCCACCTTATGAGGATCAACTACAATACTATTTACCGACACTACATAGCCTAAAAACTTTACCTCATGCAACCAGAACTCACATTTGCTCAGCTTTACATAAAGCTTCTTCTCTTTCAAAATTTGCAACACAATCCACAGTTGCTTAGCATATTCTTCCTCATCAACCGAATATATTAAGATATCATCAATGAATACCACTATGAACTTGTCCAAGTAGGGCTTAAAGATTCAGTTCATGTAATCCATAAAAATTACGGGTGTATTCGTCAGTCTAAAGGGCATAACAAGAAATTCATAGTGCCCATATCTTGTTATGAAAGAAGTCTTCAGCACATCATCCATTTTTACTCTCAATTGGTGATAGCCAAATCTCAAGTTGATTTTAAAGAATACCGTTGCTCCAGCCAATTGATCCAACAAGTCATCAATTCGGGTAATAGATATTTATTCTTAATTGTTACCTTGTTCAACTGTCGGTAGTCTATACACAATCTCAAGCTACCATCTTTCTTCTTGACAAACAAAATAGGTGAACCCCAAGGTGAAACACTAGGTCTAATCAACCCCTTCTCTAATAACTCCTCTTGTTGCTTCTTAAGTTCATTCAATTTCATTGGAGCCATCTGATACAGAGCCTTAGAGATTGGCTTGGTACTAGGTACCAAGTTAATTGAGAATTCAATCTCTCTCTTTGGTGGCAATCTTGACACTTCATCTATAAACACCTCAGGAAACTCATTCACAATTCCAATCTCGTCTAACGCTCTATCATACACTCCGTATACTGAGCAGAACACCATAAAGGCTTGACATCCCTTTTTCACTAATTTCTCCACTTGTATCGCGGATAGGAACTTAGAAGTCTTTGGAGTAGTAATAGGTATAGGCTATGCAATTTCATCATTTGTTGTAGTCGCCAAGTACACTGGTAATGAAACTGTCTTTCTATTACAGTCTAACATCACTCTATTAGCAAACAACCAATCCATGCCAATTATCACATCAATTCCTAACATGGGCAAACAAATCAAGTCAATACTTGTGACTAGTTCACCAAAATTTCACCTTTACTTTCAAGCAAGCCCGAATAGTTCTCACTAAAGCACAGCCGATGTAGATAAATTCATCATGAAAGGCATTTCAACAACATGCAAACTTAATCTTTTTGCACACTTATTAGAAACAAATGAGTGAGTGGCACCAGAATCAAATAAAGTAGAAATTTGTTAGTTGCTTAAAGAAATCATACCTTGGATAAACTTTAAGGAAGCTTCTACCTCTTCCCTTGTCATAGCAAACATACAACTAGGAATAGTAGAACTCTGATTGGTGTAAGGAGCATTCTTTGGGCAATACTAAGCGATGTGCCCAACCTTATGGCAC